CTATTTATTAGATATAGTAATAAGGCTGTTATATACAAGGCAACGCTAGGTGCACAGATACCTATCTATACTCGGAGTACCCAGAGTTCCCCACGCTCTCGTATATAGGCCAGACATATATACCGCACCTCGGTTACGACGCCAACATGCATCTCGGTAATGGTCGAGTTACGTTCGAGCTATTTAAATATTGGAACCTCCTACGTTGCTCGGGTGCAACCGCCATCCAGCATCCGCCATCCCACTGACAACCCTGCTGGTCCAGAGAAGAGAAAAACGATCCCTTTTTTCCCATTCACACCCTGCTGACTATTTATATTCCATTTGTGAAAACGTTACTTCGCACAGACAGTATCCTTGGACTCTCCCGGTCTTCATCGACACTTTTCATTACGGAAACGATTGTGAAGTTCCAAAGGTATTTTGTTCCCCACGAGATTTCCTTGGTCCGCGGTCGAGGAGACTTAACGTAAGGGGAGAAAGACATTTGTCGATAGCTACTGCGAAGGTTCGAAAGGGGCTGGTAAATCCGCAAGGCGGCAACGTAATGTCGAGGGTTGGTCAAGTTCTGGCCGTGGGCCATGCCCGGTGGTAATGAGACGTATGGCTTGAGTAATAGATTCACATTATACCCAGGCCGAGGGATGCTGGGGGTTGGCTGGTACTCAGTGACGTATCGCACCTACCGTCCACTGCCCTGCCCGCTAATTTAATGCCCGAGACTAAGCGCAAGCGATCCTAAGACACGGGCAAGTTTCTCTAGGTGATCCCCCGGCACTTCCGGTAGTTTCGTAATTCTGGAGTCCCTTGGGCAGAGACAATTTCACTGGCAGATACTTTCACGAGTCACCTTCCTCTGCCTTTCTCTCTGGGGTCGCCCTGATTTTCTTCTTTTCCTCCTCGAGCATATTCCAAACTGGGAAAGGTATGCTGAGGGTTATCGCAATGTGTTCCAGGGCTCGTCAAACTGGCACCTGACCGATAGACACCTCCGAACCTCGAACTCCCTGCTGCCCCGCCGCCATCAGAGATAACAGGGATAACCAGGGAGTCTTGCCACCGACACGATTTCGTCCTCACGCCCTAACCGAAGGGCCGAAGGGTCTTAATCCAATAAAGTGTCACAACCCCATTCGAGAATCAGCCGAGGCACGCGTCTCCCACCAGTTCCTGCCGCGACTGTACCTTCGTCTCTCGGCTGCCAAGGCGACAGAAATTTCGTCAGAAGGGTGCCTGGCACTTTCGAACGATTCTTACCCCTTCGAGTAATAGGATGACCGTCAAAGGGGGGGTAAGGGCCGTAGTACTTGCCCGGCTCTCAGCTTTCGCCTGTGACCACTCAGAGCCCTAACTCTGTACTATATATTAAATTACCACCCCCTACACCCCCCCCTCACCCACTTCCGTAAGGACGATAATTCAGGACGGCTCTGCCAAAGTTGTCCGCGACGGGGGTCGTTCTCGAGGGTTGTTTTAAGGCCCTGGGATTTTCTCGCGATGCCCTTTGCACCCTTCTCTCACTTCGCTTCCTTTACCCTTCATTTATCCATCGCTTCCACACTTGTCTCCATCAAGATTTAGGGGTGGCGCTGCTTTTCTTTCCAGGCAAACATTTTGATGTTTCCTCTTACCGACCCTCCTCCCTCCCACCCCCCGACCCATATCCCTCGATTCGCTTCCCGCATCGACCTTCCTTCTATT